ACTAACGGTCGATCGGGTGCGCGCGCGAGCGCCGAGTTATGACCGCGGCGGCGCCCTCCCCCCTCGCGAGCGAAAAGCCGTAAGCGTGCGCTCGAAAAGGACCGAAATAAACGGCGGTCGGTGGCGCGCGGCGAGAGTCACGAGAAGGCGACAAAAAGAAGGCGCGCGGTCGAGGGGCAGAGGAGCGCGCGCGCGGCAAAAGTTCTCTCGGCGAAGCGGGTGGCCACCCGGCGAGAGTTTGCCGTGGGCGTGTATTTGGCGAGGCGGCGAGCGAGCGAGGCCATCATCGTAAACGTCCAAAGAGCGCAACCTCCGGCAAATATTTAAATTGAAGAGCGCCCGGCGAAAAGTGCATTCAGCGTAAAGTGTCGCGCGAGCGAGCGAAGAGTAGTTTCGCCACTCGTTTACCGCGAGAGAGCTACGAGGAAAGCGAGCAATCGCGCCTTTGCCGAACACTCGCGGCTGGCGAATCTTGAGAAACGGAAAGTTGGAGCTCGCCGCAGGAGAGCGAGGAAAAGCGGCGCCCCGGAGTTCGAAAATAACGGCGAGCGCGCGTAATTATTCACGCCCTCGGCCGTTAATGCGTCGTCCGCGTATTGCGCGCGCCGATCGTAAACGCAGCTCGACGTGCGCGTGAGCGCGCCTCCATGATTTATGCGACGCTAGATGCGCGTAATCGGACAGCCGAATTAGCGCGATCGCTGCGAGCGTCAATTAGCCGCGATTAAAAATCGATCGATGGCACGGGAGTCGGCCGCACGGTGCGAATCGGCATCGGTCCCGCGTTGGCGCGCGTCGGCGCGCGTCGGCGGAGAGCCCGAGTAAAAAGCTCCGCGAGAGCCGCGGGAAAAAGGAAACAATGGCTCACTCGTGCCGCGCGCGGAAGCGCACGACTCGCGAGCATAATTGCGGCGGGCAGAAAATTAGCCGGGGCAGTGGGAGCACTTGCAGCGACAACCAGAAGCGAGGGAGACGTGTAGAGGGCAGACGTGATAAAGGAGAGAGCGAGCGTCGAGTCGTACGTGGCGGCGCGAAATATACCGGGGCGAGCGCGCGATGAGAGACGCCAGCGGCACGACGACCGAGGCGCGTCGAGATCCCGCGACTAATACTCGGACTGCATTGTCGTGCGCCTCTTTCTCTCTCGTATCCACGGTCTTTTCTCGTCCCCTCCGCGGCCACTCGGCGGGGCCTGCAGAGCTGGCTCTTCCGCGTAAAACCAATCGAGAGCTCGACATTGGCGCGCCCGGCTCGCACAATAGTGCGAGGCTGTACGATCGTTTAACGGGCTTTTGTCCCCGCAGGCGACTTGATGAGAGCTTTGTTTCCCTTGATATTCTTGCATTGTCCTAAGGACGTCCCAATCAAACTCTTATTCGATCCCGGGTTCGAAAGGAAAGTCGATGTTTGCCGGATGAAAATCAAAGCTGTCGAGGCTGATCGTTCGATTAGAGCGCTCCACGTAAGTCAGGTTTAGGCGATCGGCTGTTGTGCTACGTGAGAGGGACGTCGTAGCTGCGGCCGCTTAAACTCTAATACAGGCTTGATCAAAGCTTACGCGGTGCACTCCATTAGTCGAGTGCAATTCCGCCGGGAAGGGGAAGGAGATGGCAAAGAGGGCTTGCTGCTCGCGCGGCAAGCAGCCTGCAAAAAGAGCAGCAGCGCACTAAAATCAAATCCTCTCGACGTGCGCGTGCATTATTCATGACCGCCGCCGCCGCCGCCGCCGCCGCCGCCGCCGCGCGCACTTGCGCGCCGTGATTTTTTTCCTTTCCTTTTTGTTCCCCGGTCCCTGCGCCCCACCCCCTCCCGCCCATCGCCGTTCTCGCGCTCTTCCCTCCTACAGCCGCTCCGCCATACATACGCAATTTCGAGGTGGTGCCGTTTTGTTTTTCGCCGGCGTGCAAGCGCTAATAAAGTTAACTCACCGGAGCTGCTCGGGGCGTCGACGTCCTGCGGGAATAGCGCGCGCGGTTTTTTAAGCGGCCCGCCGTCGGCTACCTGCGCGTATACCTGTAGATCGCATCAACTGCAACCGCGGAACTTATACCTGCCAGGCGCTCGCAAGCTCGGGAATTTCGGTACGGCCGCCGTCGCTGCGATCCGGCAGACCTCGGAGAATTACCTCGGCGGCCCAATTTTTTCCCGCCTCCCCGCCAGGTCGAAATACTTTCGGCGGATCGCGTTTCCGAGAAGCTCCTCGCGTGCTCCGCTTGTTTCCTTCGAAAATCGATTTCCATTCGCGCGAGGCTGAATAACAGCAGCTGCATGCGCACGCGGGTAAGCCGACGCCGAAGTCGCGGACTGCGTAGCTTTCACGGCGATCGCACGAGAGCAGTGTCAAGGAGAAGAGGAAGACAAAACGAACTCGGCTTCTATCGTCGGCGCGCCTCCGTCTCGATCCCGCGCTCGCTGCTCCTTTCGCTTCCCCCTCGGCGCCTCGGCACGCGCCCTCGCTCCTCCGGCGAAGTCGCCCGGGCGTCCGCAAGACGAGCGGCTGATCGGCCCCCACGAGAATATCAATTAGAACCGAGCACAACGCAGGCGAAGCAATCGCGGCCCGACGGCTCAAGATGTCGTTCGGGACGCGAGCGCGTCGAGTGCCTGGTTAAAGTTTCGGGGCACGCGCGCTCGGCGCCCAATAAGTCGCGAGCCCGCGCCGCCGGCGAACCACTCGTTATCGCGTGCTCGCGATTTCGTATGTTTTTCGCATTCGCGATCCGGGGAACGGAGCAGGGGGCCGCCGCATAGATGCACGCCCGCTGACGTTGCCTCCGCCGCGGCGGCTACGGGCGCATTTATCGCGTGATTCACCGCGCGGCGCGGCCTGGCGCTCGTATACGTAAGCCGCTTACGCTCTTCGCGTTTTCGCCGCTCGACACCCTGGCCTCTCGCGAGCTGGCGCGCGGTGCCGTTGTGTCTTGCGTTTTGCGCAACTGGAATCGACGATGAGCTTCGGTCATTGATTTCCGAACGACCCGATCGTCTGGCTCAGCGTGAGAATTCTCACTGGCGGTCGTTGTTTTTCCCCCCCGACGCGCATCGCCGAGTAGGATGTCGCTGTTGCGTCGCAATATCATCTTCGACGTTGGATTATCGATGATCAAGAGCCGACTTACCAGACGCACTCGCGTGCCCAGTCCAGCATTGATATGGAGGAGCTCGTGATTTACGAGCACTCGTAATAATTGGAGCTACGAGGACGCAGAGCCGGAGCGACGACAAAGCGATAGATTATTCAAAGTCGCCCGAGTATGATCGGCATTACGCATCCACCTTGGCTTCGTTTCGACTCTCAGGTGACGCAAGTGCCAAGCTCCGCGTCAGCGCTATACTCGTTAAATCTAACGATCGTCCGCAGACAGCGGACGATTTGTTTTTAATATCTCGCCAGCTCTAAATATTAAATAGTCCACGCCGAGCGTGCGCATACGCGCGCGTCGAACCGGTCCCCCGCGGGTCGAATTTGTTATCTCGGCGCATTCACCAAAGCCCCAAAACGCTCTACGTCTCCGCGTGGAGTTTACGCAACGCGGCGCGCACGCAATCCGCGTTGGCGCAGAGGGGGCAGAGCGAGGCGGGCAGCGCGTCGTCTTGCTCCGATTTGTTGGTTCGTTCGGCTTGCGGCCAGCGGGCACACGGGCGACGCGACGCGCGCGGTCATGGCGAAAAATCTGACTGACTGCCGTCGGCCGTCGAGCGCTTTCGCGAGAAGCCGGAGAAGAAGAAGACCACGGGAAGGTCGGGACGGGGAGTACGAAAGAAAAACAAGAAATGGGCGGCTGACGAGTGTTGACAGTAGCAGCTCGCGTAGTGGATCGCAATTAGGAGTGCCGGGCGTCATCTCCTGAGCAAACAAAGGAAATGCTCCATTATTTACCTTGTTCCGCGCCGCTACTGCTGCCGCTGTCGCTGCCTCTCGCCAGCGTACGCGTACACACGTGCGCGCAGCTCTCGCAGTTTGTACAGGCGGATGCCTCGAGGACGTGTAGCGTCGCGGCCAAGTTTGCCCGAGACTTTCCGCGCGACGGACGAGAAAACCTGCCTCGGCTCGCCTCGACGAAACTTCGCCCATATACTCGCAAGAGTCAAAGCCCGATCACGTCAGGGCTCGTATGGCTGAGCGCGAGAAGGCGCGGAAGAGGGCACGCGAGCCATAATTCTTCGCTCAGACTTACATTTATGGCTTCCCGCCCGGACAGACGCGCGTCGGCCCACTCGACTTTCGAGGGCGGCGCTCGAGTTTTGATAATTAAAAGCAGCAAAAGAGAGATACCGAGCGGCGAGCAACGACGCCCCAGAGCAATCGAACAAATGCAATAGAACTACCCTATGTAATGCAGAAGCAGCAACGGACAGGGCCCTCGGAGGAGGACAGTGTCGCGCCGACTCCCTCGGCTCGAAGCATAGCCGGCAACGGCAGCCATGGGAAATATTCCAGCTCTCAGCGACGATTTAATTAGCCATGCGAATTCGAGGATCGCAATTGGTTCTCGCTCGTTAAGCGAGAGAAAACCGGCAGCGGCACTCCAGCGGCGCAAAAACCACCGTATCCGAAGCAATAATCGCTCACAAATCATAACTGCAAAGAGGTAGGTCGCGTGTGCGGAGTGCAGTTATCGCGCGGGCATCCCGCGGGGCCCATTAATCCTACAGCCGAGAGCTCTCTGCTACTGCTTGATAAGCGCGCTAACGGCGCTGGAGCGCGGCCCGGCGCGCATCGCAGTTGGAAAAGGGCTCCGGGGCGAGTCTTGGCCCCCGCCTCCGCCGCCGCCGCCGCCGCCCCGCCAACGACCGCCGCGCTCGCGACGATCAGCTCGGCCAGCCCGACCGAAGCGCGCCCGTCGATTCGATTTACGGCCAAAGCTAAGCTCCGAAATAAGAAACGCAAATTGCGTTTACGCGCGGCCCCGACGATCGCGGATAAGCGATCATTCCGGTCTGGCGGTGCTACGATCAACAATTGGCTGCTATTCCGAGACGAGCTCGGTTATACTTACCCCTCTTATCTCCAAAGAAATCCTGGGATGCGGTCGCGCCGACGAGCACGGCGCACCAGTACAGCCAGCCCAGCATTCTCCTCGACGAAGCTCTGAAACTGTAACAGTTGTTCAATGATTCACCGCGTTATACGATTCTTTGCTCGCAATCAGTCGTCGAATCTCATTGAGTTTTCACCCAGACCCCGTCTAAGCAAATAAGCTCCGCTAGACGCGGAATCGTAATTGAGAATTAACTTAGACTCGAAATACCGGCAGCGTATCTTTCCGAGTGTTCGGTAATTACCTACGTTAGATTATCAATTGGCATAATGATTTGCAATTCGCCGTGGGTCTGCGATAAAAATCGGAACGCGCGGCGAGATAAGCTCCGCTATGTAGACTGCCCTCGGCAACTGCTTGTCGAGCAACCGTATCCCGATTAAATATGTGGCCTAGGCTGTGCGAAAAATCGGCGAGGCTGATAAAGCGAGTCGCACGTGGTCGCGTGTGGTGCCGATCGATAACCAGATCGTTGACCCGCCGCGTCGCAGCGTGGCGCAGACACGCGTACACGAGACAATCGCCGCACGAACAAAGATTTATGTATATCTATATATAAATACATGTACACGTATGCATATACGGAGCTGCTTAATGCCGTTGCGACACAATTAAAGGAGAGTCGAGGGTCGCCGGTTGGCCGTGAATAACCGTGCACGGCTGTCCAGTCCTCTTACGCTGCACGCTTCTGTCGATCTGCTTTCCGACTCGATTCACATGCGTGTACTTTTCAAACAATCAATAATTTTGAATAATGACAAGCTTCTCGGTACGAAATAGATACGAATTTGTTTAGAACTTGCAATCATAGTTTATTTTGCGCTAACATGATCGAGTATTATTTTTTTATTGAAATTCCATAGTGCCGCTATAAAAGTTTTTTTGCGATGTTTAAGCATCTCGTTAGAGACAAAAGGATCCAATCAATGCCCAAAGCACTTGCAAGCATTTGAGCTGAAAACACTGAACCGGATTTTCATTTAGCAAACTGCTGTTAGAGCAAAGGGTCAAGTAATGAGCAGGAAAAATTGTGAATCATTAGGGCGATTAATTTTAGCAAAAAGTTGGAATGAATCGTGTACCGCGCCACTTGAGACAGTCCAACGTCCAATCGATGCCAAATTTGGCGACGACAAAGAGTCTTTCGGGGTGTGCTCCGCTCTTTTTCGAAAAAACAAAAAAGAACGAGAGAAGAGTGATGCGAGAGGGTGCAGCGAGATAATGCGGTGCGATGCGCGACTCCCAAAAGACGACAATGCGCAAAGATGAGAGCGGCAGCAGCGGGCACGTATTTACGTATGCATACAGCAGCCGCGATCCCGACTGCCGTTTTCTCTCGTCTTCACGCTCCCGCGTACACTTGAAGAATGATACTCGAGGGTCTCCTTCCGCACTTTTCCTCTTCTACAAACTTCCTATTATGCGTTATTTCAGGATTCGCAAATCTACGTTTCAGACTTACATGCGTTTTTCTGCCTCTACCGTCTACTCGCGTGCGAGTAAAGAAAAATCGTTAGAAAGATCAACCATTACCACGGAGGAAATGGAATGCTCTCTAGATAGGAAAATTATATAGAAATAACGTGAGAAAGACCGGTTTCCACTGGTTTGTCGGGCAGCTGAAAAGTGGCGCTATTTCGGAATAATTTAGGGGCCACAGCTTTCAGCTAGAATCTCGATATTCCGTAATCAGCTAATTATTTAAGATATATCGATCTCTAAATTTGTTATCGTACGAAATTGCCGTGTGTAGTCTTGTCCCGGTAGCGATAGGTCTTTCCAAACGATAAGCGGCACCTGCTCAGCCTTTTCGAATAGTCTACATAATCATGCCGACACCCGTAAGCTTGCAAGGGCATATCCGATGTGGTGTGAGAGTAAACTGGGTAATAAAATTACTTCCTCCTGGGAGCAACCAGTTCTGAATGTATTCGTAAAGCATGCCCGGTCACTCGCTTTATTCTCTTGATTCAATGAACTTCAAATTCTGGGAAAAAGACAAACTTCTGAGTTGAAGTTGTACGCGGTAAATCGTATAAATGGCTGAATTATGCTGAGCCATGGATCAGCATGTCGACAGGTATATTTAAAGATGCACGTTGGTTATATTTGTGGACATATTTCAAGAAAGTAGTCATCAATTAAGAAACGAATTATGATACTCGGTTTACGCTCCGATAACGGTACTATCCAGTTTACATTGGCGGAATCTACCCAGACGTTGGCAATCAAATATCCATCAAAAATAATGCAGTTAAAGCGAAACTTTCGCGATCGAGTAGAAAAGTAAAGTTAGTCGGCCTATAAATATCACTAGCAATACACACAGCATCCGTGACTGATTGCGGAACAATGGAGTCGTAAGTAAGAGCGACTCGGGTGCACGGGAGTATCTCGCGCGCGAAGCGGAATCCACAGATAGCAGGCGCAACGAGCAGAGAAAATCACGCACGCGCGGTGATAGTCGCGCGTCGGAGGCATAATAACGAGGAAAAGCGCGAGTCGTAGAGAAAGCGCGCGCGCGGATTCATCTTCGAGCCGTAGCGCGGCGAAGAACGAAACGTAAGACGTGTCTCGACAGCGTGAAAGGGCGAGGCTTCAAACGCGGCCTCCGTCGCGCACAATTGCGACCGCACAGTGTCGACGCCTCGCTAATCATTGACTTTCTCCGCGCTGCCTCTTCCACAGCGGTTCGCGCTCCTTTCCGCGTCCGTCTGTAGAATCGGCCTCGTTCCTCCGACTCTGACCACTGCGTCCGAAACGCCAAAAACTCGTAGCGCAAGCTGATTTGCTTAAAGCTGACGTAACTCGACTCGTTTTCGGAATACGAAGAAGTAGCCGCGCACGTAAGTGAAGCGAAGGAAGCAACTGCTGTGCGTTATTATTTTTACGTAGAACGTCGAACGTGGAAAGCGCCGACGAGCTGGGCCCCCGCGCGGCTTGGAATTCGTCGGATTTCCGCTGGTAATTTTCAGCGGTAAAAGTTTGGCTCGCAGTTTCGGACATAATGCAGTAAGGGAGCGAGCCAATGCCGGAATGAACGAAAGGTGGGTTCGACAGGTCAACTCGGCCGGCTGCCTGGTCGCGAATGCGGTGAACAAGCAAGGAACTTGTCCGCGTCGGAGTTGGCCCGGACAGGGAGGGAACCGCGGCGCGCAGGAGGATCGGGGACTTGGTTTCGCATCGATTCGCATTCAAAATCTTCGTCGGATCCGGCCAACTGGCTCGCTCCGGCGTAAATTGTTTGTGGCCTCTTCGCTCGCTCGACCCTGCCACGGCGCCTGCCCGAGCTTTCGATTTACATATTCATTTATATCGGCGGCAATCGAATAGAAAGGCCGGGCGCGCCGCGCGTACCGCTGAATTAATTGATTAAACCAACTGGCCGCGATAACTGCAGCGTAAGCACGCGTTAGCACCTGTCCGTACACCGCCGACCAATTTTTTCGCTCGCTAACGGGTTTCCGATTAATATTCATTAGCCGCTGACTCGCTCGAGGAGAGCTTATTGTTCTGTAAAATCAGTTTTACGTTCGCGTAACGTATCCGATCCACGGAATTCGCGTGTCTGCGATCGACAGTACCGCCGGACGATTGGATAGAGAAACATCTTCGTCTGGCTTACCGAGTCAAAGAGATGTACCAAAAAAGCCTGTTAAAGCGTTCTTTTTTTCGCATTGTCCGGATTGCCTTTCTTTATATTGACGCGAGCCTGATTAAATGATCGATAACCGGCAGAGTACATCGCAACGAACTTGATCAACTTGTAAAATCAGCACGTTTGACCTAGTTGAGAGAGCTGATCGGCGCCGGCCCAAGTTATATGGCTGGCTGCAGAAAAATGGAAATTCTCGGAAGAGCAATTCACAACAATCGTAGAAGCGGAAAAGAAAGTTCAAACAGCTCTATTTTCTAATCGCTGCGCCGTAAAAGCCATGTTATTTTCATCAGAGAAACTCGTCTCAGACTCGAGAGCGAGAGAGAGAGAGAGAGCAAACTTCGACCCGCACTTTGTTGGAAAGTGCAAAAAGCCAGCGCGCGCGAATCAAAGTTTTGGAAATGAGAAAAGTGTTTTTCGTTGCGAGTACGTCGAACAACAAAGCCAGCTGTCTAATGAAAAGCCCGAAGAGGAAGAGCTGCACGTATAGAATATCTGCGACGGAGTGCAAGCTCCAGCGCACGTATGCACAATAATAGCCGCGCAAGCGCGTCGCCGAGACTAATGAGCTGTCGATGTCCGCGACGAGGGAGCATCGGCATAAATATAGTCTCCCGAGAGACAGCTATAACGAGCGAAATCAGCGGCCCTCGACGGCTGCACTTCCGTGCGGACGGCTCCGCGATAGCTTCCTTCCGAACGGCCCGCCGGCAATGCAACGATCCGCCGATAGCGAGGCCAAAACGGCCGCGGAGCTTTTAGCGCGACTGCCAAGTCTTAGCTCATTCGCGCCGGCGAGCTTTATGGCTTCCCGGACCTGTCGGGCCGCGCTCGCTCGCAACTGCGAGTGGCTTTGAAAACCAACAGTAAAGCGATTTTCGCGGACTCTTATTTACGACTGGCGACCGAGCAGATGCAGTGTGCGCCGGACGCCGAGAAATCTTGAGAAGTGGCTCGTTAGAGCTGTCCGATAAATAAAGGGCCGGGAGCGAGACCGAGGCGGACGAGCGGACGAGGCCGACCAATGAGAAGAGCCGCACGTGTCGCCGCGGACGCCGAGCCTCGTAAATAAAGCGCCAGACGCGGATTAACGCGCGCGAACGCGCGTCCAGCGCCACGTGCCGTCCGCGCCGAATAAAGCTCCGCTGCGCCTGGGCGCGCATCGCGAATAGGCGCGCGGCCGTGAAAAAGCGAGCCGTCGTCGGGGGCGCGCGACCAACGCAGCCTCGATAACCGTGAGCCCGCAGCGAGCGCAGGGGGCTATCGCGCGCGCGCGCTAACGAGTGTTTGCCTCGTTATTGATTGTATAAATTCATTTGCCTGAGAACGTAACGCCTGGCCGCCCTCTCTCTCTCTCTCTCTCTCTCTCGCCGAGGAAAATTAGCTCGCTCGTGCGGATGGCGCCGAGCCGGGCGCTGGGCGCCACGCGAATCGAAGGAAAAGGCGTTAATTAACGCAACGATAATGAGGCGCCGCAGGAAAACGCGCGCGAAAAAAAGCGAAACAAAAATGAATCTCGCAAACAGCTCGTAACGAGGGGCCGTTAATGAAATTTCTAATAAAGTCGTTTACGCCCGGCGCAATTGACTCGAGATCAACTTTCATTAATTGCTCGTCAATGCTGCTAGAGCGCGCCACGCAAATCGATGCAGTCGGCAGCCGCGGCCCGACAATGTAATTATTCCACGCGAAAAGAAGCCTTCGCAACGCGCTGACGTCCTCTCCGCTCGCCGATAATCGACCTGTCGGCTTTGGGCCCCGAGATGCCGCGGCGACGCCAGCGGTTCCGAACCGTCGACCCCCGTCGACTCGGACCTCTGGGCTAGCGCCGCCAGCCACGACCCATCGACTCCCAAAATAACGCGCGAGCCTCGCGAATGCATATATTCAGCCGACCACCGCGCGGCCGCCGTATCGCCTTTCATTGAGCGCCGCCGACGTACAAATCATCTCCGGCTCCAGTGAACCCGAACCGTTTGCGCTGGCTCAGTCGATGCTCGCTCCACGCGCGCTGCCTTCTATCCGCCGACCACTATTTCGCTTCGCACGAAACCATTGAGAGAAGAGGAGAGCCTCCGCGCGACCTCACTCGTTCGCTCCCGAGGTCTAATAAATTTTAATCTCTCGGCGCAGTATGTGTGCCAGCGTTCAACGAGAAAGAGTGCTCGTAGTTTTTTTTCCCGATGATCATGTGAAACTGCCGCTCGTGCCGACGTGAAATTGGGTCGTTTTGACGTTTGCCGCTGAACGAGCGCGAAGACAAACAACAAACTAGTTCCTTCGCGCAGGCGACATTAATAATACGTCGCGCGGGTGGCTCGAAAAGAAAAAAACCAATGAAAAAGTCGTATGAATCTAGATAAAAACGAGCGATTTATTCAGAAAGCATTCCAAGGCGCGCGAGAGCGCCGGCAGTAACGTTCCTCGGCGCAAAGGAAGAACGGCAAACGGCGCGTGCACACTCGACGGCGCAGACTGCGCCGCTAGAGCAGCCGAAGCGCAGATTTATTTTGATAGCGGGTCCGCCCAAGCGGAGTCGGCGGCGCGGCTAAGCCGAATTCATTTGCGACGAGTCCGTCCGACGCGCAACAATCGAGCATCGAAATAGAAACGCGGACGGCCGTCTCGCGGAGTTTATACGTTGTCTATACGCTACTATTGTCCCCGCGAATTGACTTACTTAGCTGACATATTGAGTCATTCCATGAGGACTCGGGCCGCTGGCGAACTGCAAATTGCTCCGGTCGTTGAGGTCGCTGTAGCTTGGCAAACTCGAGGTGATCCTTATTGACTGCGAAATCGTGGCTGCGCCGAGGCCGAGGAGCGATAAACGCGCGAAAACTCGGCGGGACGATCGAGGGCGGCGGGGAAGCGCGTTTCGGCCGAGCGAGCGAGAAAGAGTTTCGATTCGAAATCGATGGAATCACGGCGGGCACATAGGTGGCGCCTCGCCAACCCAATCGTCAATCGTTTGCTGCCGACACTTAGGAGGCTTTTTGTCACTGCTGCCGGTAAACTGTCAACACTTCACACTGTGTCCGGCGCCCTGGACGCTCCCAATTATCTCTGGCCACGAACGCCGACGGGATACCAGCTGCAACACGCCTACGCGTACGCGTACAGAGAAAGAGCGAGAGAGAGACAGAGACGGGAAGCATACAAGTCGAACCTGCGCTCGCGACGCTTCGGGCCTAGTCCTTGCGAAACAGGTCGTTTGCATAAACGAACGGAAGCTACTCGAGAACACTGAGCACAATCACAACGAGGTTCGCTGGACCTGCCGGCACTGGCAAACGGCAGCCGGGAAATTGGGAAAGAGTGCGTGACGAATGTGGGCGAAGGGCAGCGGGCGATATCAGGCGATAACGCGATCGGGCGGCGAGAGAGAGTAAACAAGGGTGGGAGAGCGGGCGCCGCAAGCTCGGTCGCGGCCGGCGTGGCGGTGCGCGAAGAGGTTCGACGTCGGCCGGGAGAGCGCCGGCTGGCTCCGTCGGCCAATGGGACGCCGGAGCGGCCGCTGGATTCGAATTCGGAGGTGGCTGCGCGTGCGTGGGCGCTGGCTGGCCGGGACGGCGTACGAGGCAGGTCGTCGTGTGTGATGGTGAAAGCACGTGGCGGCGACACCGTGTCGCGCTAGCGACTGCCGGCTATTCGCTCGTATACCCCGCCAACGCCAACGCCGCCGCGCTGCTATTCTCCAGCTCTCCCAGTCCCACCAACGCTCGCTCTCGCGCGCTCCCGCTCACGCTCGCGCGCTCTCGCGCTGGAGCACGAGGCGGAGGCCGCGGCATCGCTGCCGCTGCTCGCCTGCCGCGGGCCGCGCCTCAGCCCTGCTCCCTTCGCGCGGGACTCGGCCAACTTTGCCCGGCCGCCTCGTCCTTCCGCCTTTCCCAATCAATCGCGAGTCACGCGCGCCGCAAGGACACGCACGCGCGCGCGCGCACACACAGCCGCGCGTCGTCCGAACGATCAGCCAACCGAGATCGAGCGCCGGGGCGCCGGGGCGCCGGGGCGCCGGCGAGTTACGCGTTCGCGATATGCTCCGACCCCTGGGCGAAACTTACTTCCCGATGCCCGCAACTTTTCTCCTCGCGCCGATAGCAGATCCTCGAGCGACGATAAGTTTGCCCGGGAGCGGGGCCGACCGGGTCCTCGAGGCGCGCGTTTCTCGGGATAATTCGCCCGGATAAAGCCGACGAGTCGACTCGTGGGCGCGACTCGATCCGGCAGCCGTTCGGGCAATCGCGTCGCGCGCGAGCTCGCGGGAGAGCGATCGTCCCGCGCGACGATCAGGGATAAGAGGAGGGCGCTTCCTTTATCGGGCGCGAGAGAGGACGCGCGCGTAATAATCGCCGCCGGCGGCGCTATCGGCTTCGCGGCAGCGATCGCTCTTCCCAGGGCGCGTCGCTCGGAACTGCGCCGCTAGCGGCTCCTTATCGGCCCTCTCGCCTCCCCGCGAGCGCTCGACTATTCCGCGCAGATAGCGAGAAGGCCCTTCGGCATTTTACGCTCGATACTCTTACGCTGCTCGCTGCCGCGCCTCCCGTTCGCCCCCACCCCACCCTTCCAATTAAGCCCTCCAAATTACAGTTGTTTGTCGATCGCCGACTTGCTGGCGTCGGCTTCGCCAAAGAGACATCATTACGGCTCGCGGCATTTATTTTTAACGACGAGCGGCCGAAAAAATAAAGGGAGCGGAGAGCGCAAAATTCCGTTGGAAAGAACGAAGATTGATTGGGTTACGCGCGGAAATTGGCGAGTGCGAGCGCCGTGTATAGATTATCCGATATTTCGAAATGGCACTGTTGCACAATAAATAGTGCTCAATTGGGTCGGGCAATAATGAAATGCAATTTTTCACACACAGCGCCCAACCGTTTCTAGGCTAACCGAAGGCCATTAATATCGACCGCGCGCACGCAATCAAATTTCCATTTTTCAAAGGCATTCCAACGGAATATAATTAACGAATTTCATCTTGGCGCAGCGACACGCGTTTATCGAAAGTCCATAAAATGCGCCAAAACGAGAACGGGAAAAAATGCAGCCCGGCGCGCTCCCATATTACCAAATTAATTGGAATCTCAACAAATATAAATAACTGGACGGTGGCTGCAACGTTGTGGCGCTTTTATTGAAAAAAAGCGGGCGCGCGCGGGCCAGCGTGTGCTTTTCAACGGCCGTGAAATTGACAGACAATTACGCCGCTTGCCCGCTTGACCTCCCCCCCCCCCCGCCCCCTTCCGAAAAATCGGCCCCGGCCCGCCTTTGTCGGTCGTCATGGCAGACGCGCAACTCGTTTACGCAAATTGGTCGGTCGCGCGCTGTGCAGCCGTACTGTCCCCGGCACCTCGACGACTCATCGGGACGCTCGCGATTCGCCGGGGTATTCGCCAAATCGCACCTCGCGCGCACTTTATTCGACAACTTCGAAGGAATGGCCGATTTATTCATTGCGCTCTCGCGAGCGACGTTTGTAGGGGAATTCCGAGCTCCGGATTGAATCTATCTGCATACGTACTTCGGGTCTTTGCGCTCCTAGGAAATGTTTATCTGTATGTCTACTAGTCACTGCTGACTCGTTAAACAGAGCGTGAAATAATATTGACCCCTAAACGTGAAATACGTATTAAATTGGAACTGCCGGTGGCTTTTAAAAGCTGAAATATATCCGACCGTTCGCGTTGATGCGTCCGTTCCGTGAGGCTCGGATCTCGTGGTCCGTGAATCTTTCCATTTTTATGCACTTGTCGGACTCGACCAAGGCCAGTGGAACACGTGTGTGGCACTCGTGCGGGACGACCGTGTTGCTCGAAACGACAACACGTGTACAACAGTGAAATATTCAATAGACGCGCTACCGCCGTTCCCCGTAAAGTAAAAAAAAAAAAAAAAAAAAAAATAGCGAAAGCAAAACAGAACACAAAAGAACTAGCTGTCGTCGGGTTGGCGCCGCGCGCTGGCTAACGTTCATTATGAAGGACGTGTTCAATTAAAGCGGAGCGCGATGCGGAGATTTATGCCGTGGCGCGCGAACGACGTGGATGAATTGCTAAAAGGGCTCGCCCGCATACGAAATCGATTTACGAGCGGATAATTGCTTTTGTTTGCACGGCGAATGATTCTGTTTTTGCCAAAATTAAGGCCGGAGCTTCAATTAAAACTTTCGTCATCGGCCAATCAATTCCACGTATTGATGCGTTACAAATTACATCTGCTCTTCCGCTCTTTTCTTCGGACATCAAATTGTCACTTACAAATAATCGAAATAGAAAATAATTAACATTTCGTTAAAATCAAGAAGTTCCGTGGCTCTACTTGGAAATATAGCTAGAAATAAAGTTGAAGCTTCAAATATGACAAGTGACTCAAAATTACGTCACACTGTCACTGAACTTTTCTATAAATAGATTAGGGTTCTCTCTCTCTCTCTCTCTCTCTCTCTCTCTCTCTCTCTCTTTCTCTCTCTTGAGATGCTTGATTTTATTTTCGCTTGACGGTTGACGGTCGGACAAGAGCCAATTACTTATCAGAATTTTTTGCAATTTGATTAAAATAGTATGTGTCGCAGTTTGGCGCAAGCAGTAGAGAACGGCGAACAACCGCAAGATTGGATGACAAGAGGGTATTCTTGAAAAGCAGTACGAGTATATGATGTGAATGAAAGGGGACGGCGAAATATACTAATTCTACGAGGCGAGAGCACGTACGAGCTTCCGAGCGACTCGCTGGTTAGCAAACAAGTTTGCGGGTTGGAAATAAGGTTAACGTTGACGAATCAATCGGCGAGCTATCGCCGTGATGAGAGCGAGTGCAGAATCGGCAGAGCGATTGCCGCAGCGAGAAAGGCCAGGCAGAACGGCCGCGGCAATAGATTAGCGCGGTAGGTGGGAGAGAGGGGGGCTAATTGTAGCGATACTCTGGCCGCGCACGCTCGCTCGACGTTCTTCGCTGCTCCGTTCGACGATTATCACCAGCGCGCACACTTCCGCCGTGGAATTGATGCGGACCGATTATTACGCGCGCGCTCCTCGCCGACGACGCTGCTTTCGTGTATATCGCGCCGCGCGCGCATCAATCAGGGGCCCGGGCTACCATGCACTGCGACACGACAGCCATTACAGCGTCTCCACGCCCGTGCCACGTATTATTTTGGACCAAGTTCGATAGGGCGACAACCCCTTGCGCGCCACTGATTTCCAAGTGATTATCGAGCCTTCAGCTCGCAGCGCAGTCCCGACTTTTGACACTCGTCAAATGTTTCAATAATGCGATTTAGAGGAAAAGATACACGCACGCAGACTAAGTTATTCAAAACCGGTTTGAGAATGGAGAACCTGGAGAAATCTCAGCCTTACCCAATCAGATTTAGAAAATACAAATGACCGACCAAGAGAGTCGCAACAGTGTTGCTTGTACCTTGAAAGAGCAACGCACGGATCTTGTGCCTTTCTTGCGCGTTCTCGTCAAATTTAGCAAAGCCGTCGTGAGCGTGCTGGAGAAAAACTCGGATGACCTAACGCAGCGATGATGCCACAGCATCGAATTCCAATCAGTTTAGATAATTCAACGGCAGCTGGGTGTGTGTAAATTGCGTCAGTCGCACAAAAGGCTCTCGTAATGATAGCGAAAATTACCGTTGATTCGATGCCATTAATGGATAACCACGTACATTGCAATGAAATGCTTACTTATAACGCATGAAAAATGCTGCAGACACGCGAAATCCGTTGCAGACTCGTCCGTAGACGTCGCAGATGATAAGAAAAATCAAGGTAAACCCTCCTTGGTAACCGTGTATTTTTTCAAAAAAATTGCTTCCTCCGAAAAATTATCTAAACGAAAACCACGTACAAATAGGATGAACGAATGCAATGGAAAAGTGTGACTCCACGAGGTCGCGATGATTAAATCATTCTTCTAGGTCGGAATATCTCAGGGCAATGCAAGCATTTGCACACAAGCAAGAACTGAATTTAAATTGAGTCTAATTAACATGTGAGCTCAGCAAGCCGTTAAAACGTTATTGGTGCTTTTACGACTCGATTTCCTGGCCGTTATATCATATAAGCTTTTCGACGACAGCATAGGTGCAGCTTTGGCCTGGACTACGTCTAGTCGTACACTTTCAACTATCAAGTAGGTACTAACTTGTACACCGCAAGTTAGTACCTGCTTCATACCGTTTCAAATACGATTTTTGCGATGATTATTGACACATAAAAGTTTATACTCAAAATACTAAACGCTATTCATTATAGCTTGTTAGGTAAACTCACGTCGCAATTACTTGTAATTAAGTATTTTGTTCATTAATGTGTAACGTCATATATCAATATTCGAATTTCATTATCAAACAATTCCTATGGATTTATAACTTAACAAGTTGAAAGTAGATATATGCATTCGGTGGTAAATTATTATTTCCACACAAATATATTTTCAAAAGCAAATCTTTTATGAATCATTGCAATTATCATATAGATTACACGCGGCACTGATGAAAAAGCCATTTTACCTGCTACACTTGAATCAAATTATGAAACGTTAGTGACAAATCATTTTACAGGATTATAAAGCAAGTAAAATAAATCCAAGTGGCATTTTCACGAAATTTGAATAAAATAACAAAATACAATTGGCTATAACTGGACTTCACTTCATAAAATTCTGTCGTATTCGTGTGAAATGAAAAAAGTTAGACCGAATAAGCATACGCGCAAGGATCTACAATGTTACGTGAAATACGATGTGGATAAAAAGTTTGAAAAAAATTAGCTGTTTGTTGAAATATCTAACTAGATTATTCACAAAGCGTGCAATGTTATGCGAAAAGGTAAAGAAAAAGGCAATACATATAATAATAAAATTCAATGAAATTATTAAAATCAATGTAACTCAATATATTATTAAAATTTAAAATTAGGCATGATTTGTTCACATCGACAATGTATTATGACTTATTTATATACACTATCGTATCTCCTCATATAAAATTAACTGACAGATAATATAATAATTATTAATATTATGTTAATAAGAAAATGATTGAGAATAATTTTCATGCTAATCCGTTATATTCATAATGCCATAGAATAATTCTGTCTGTCAAATTCTCACTTATAAATTTTAATCGTTAATTGTCTTCATACTTTGTCTGTTTACATATTCATCGGAAAAGATATTGATAGAATTAAATAACAGAGTATGAATAACTGATTGTAAGACTGAGTAACGACAACCTGATAAAAATAAACTAAAGTCGAACCGAATTTAATTGGAAACTAATAACTGGAAACATTTAAGTTTTACTACGTGTATTTAATAGCTCATAATCAAACTGTGTCGAGTACACTAATGTTCATTCAATTATCATCTTACAAACTTTGTTATAGATTTTCTTGAGGTCACCTATATCTTTCTAACCTTTGTACATTTTTTGTAATAAATTAATTTCTCACTTTCTTATCTTTTGTTTGACATCATTAATGGTTCTAAAAATACCGCATCTATTTATTCATTGCTCTAGAATGACCGATGACCATTCACGAGTTGCAAAGTTTCATATTTATTCATTATTGATCAGAAACCAGCCAATATTCGCATTATCTTCTAAATTTAGATCATCATTCGGTCTTGCGATTGGTAATATATTCGAAGATAACAACAAATTCTATCAGTTTATCATCAGCAGAAATTGTAAATCAATATAGTAACTATCAATTTACCTGTGGTAGGTATAATAGGAATTTGTAAAACTATAAGATCAATATTATTATCTGAAGAGTTTTCTTTACCGACTGCGGCAATTGCAGAAACTCAGCAACAAAACTATATTAAAATAACAATACAATTTGTAGTTATTATTTGTTACGCAAATACTTAATTTTATTAGTGAATTATGTCTCGTAAATAGTCAATTCTAGAGCATCACCGTACTAGTAGAGAGAATTAAATAATATATTTAAAAAATATATGAACTATTTCATAGTTAATATATATCATTAATATATAATACGTTAATCATTAATATATAATAAATTATTAATACATAATATAAATTTCGTGATTGCAAATTTCAGTTGATTTATTCTCATCGTAGTTTAAAAAATGTGATTAATTTGTTTTCATTGAGGTTCACAACCAGATTCCGATTTAACCATGACTTAGATTTTTCACGTATAGAATTTATATTAATAAGTATTATTTTTTAACTATCTTCAATAAAAAATGAATCTCTTGACTACTAGCTGTTGATAATAAAGATAAATATAAAAACTATCTTATAAAGAATCAATTTATTTACAAAAATGTTAAAACTAGTTTATATACAGGTACTTTAATGTTTAGTTTTTCTATTAATTTTTTTCTTCCTGACAGACGTTTGATTCACTTACTGGCAGCTCTTGCGTCTGACTTTGCAATGCTTTTTTCCTCTTTAGAACCATCTTTCTATGCTTGGCACCAGTCATATGTGCATGCCACTGCAAATCATTAATTAAAATCCTTTCGCAAACCTGAAAAATAATTAAAAATAAAATTGAATAATTTTACTGATCTCATAAATATAGTTTGGCTAAAAAACGCTGGAAAATATGATTGCTTAACTAGTAGTAAGAGAAGAGAAGTGATATTGACAATTACCTCACAGAAGTGTCTTTTAAAGTTGCTGCTGTCGGTGTCTTTCGCATTGTCGATGACGCTGTTCATCGGCTGCTGACTGGGCGTTTCACCGCGCATAACCGCGGACACGATTTCGACCGCTTTCCCATAAACTTCACTTTCCCATTGCTCCACATTTGAACAATCGAGCGAATAAACCGGTGGTACCTGTAACGCCCAGACCAAGCTATTAATCATTTGATTAACCATCATTACGAAGTATCAATTTCAAATCCAGTTTGCATTATGTCTGCTTTTTGTATGATTTGCAACTAAAAACGAAAATAACAATGACGAGAAAATTCATGACGTAGCGTAATTGACAATTACGATTGCTAGAAGCGAGAATAAACTTTTGTAACAGATGGAAACTTTAATGAAAACAACGACGTCTCTTTGATAAGAAAATGTTAATATGAAACTGTTACGTCGATCGTAAAATTGATTTTTGAATTTCTTGCTAACCGAAGGATCGAGTGCTGAAAGTAAGACCTTCTCACCTGCCTGTCGGCTCTTCGCAAGAGTCTATTGTTAACCCACTTGCGCTGTCGCTTGGCGTACCTTCTCGTAGCCATCTTCAAATTTTCGATGGCTTCGCTCAACATATTCCGCGCCTGCTGGAACAAATGGTTTGTCAAGCCTAGCCGCCGCAATACGGGCCATATCTGACGGATACAACGGACACACGCGCGCGCTTGCTTGCATGCGCGTGTACCCCGCGACAAGGACCGTTTAGTTGTCGTAATTCGCTGACTTTTGCGCGTAGAGCAAGCAAATAGCCATCCATCCGAGATAAGCGATCGCGTGCATCCCTCTTGCGGCCGAGGGTACGTGTACGTCGACGCAAGTGCGGCATGTTGCGATCGTCGCGAGACTCGAGGAAACGCGGCTGGCTGCGCGGGCACAAGCTACAGGCCTATGCCTAACCCACTTTTCTCCGTTCGCGCGACGCGGCTACCTGTGCGGACGCTGATAAGTCTGACTATATTCATGCATGTACGCCGTTGAACTGCAGCGGACGTCGCTGCCGCGGCTAGCTCGGTTGTCGTCGCGTCTTCCAGCCGTTTTCAATATTTACGATGAGCGCGGCACCTCCGACACTGGCCCTCTCCAGATATCATTTGCTCATTAAATTCTCATCTCACGTACCTCCTCTGTCTCTCTTTTCTCTTTGGGAAGGATCAAATAGTTGTGAAATTCCTTGAAGCCAATACTTTGGAAGATCCCTCGAGTATAATCGGGCAACCTGTGGAAGAAAGAAAACTTTGCTTCGGTAAATCCACGGATAATTCTTTTCATATGATTATACAATCATTTATTGAATTAAAAACTCTTAGTGATGAATGAAAAGTGAAACGCCTCGACTGGTAACGAACATCAGCGTTCTAGGTCGAGAATAGAAAGAGAGAGTTGGATTTGGGGGTTGAGAGGAGTGGGGAGAACCACTATAATAACGCATTCAGCAAATTCCCGCTTGACGCGCATAGGGGGCAATTAAGTCTGAACGGAATCCAAGGTCGGCGGGTAAACAAAAAAAGAAAAGGGCGTGCAGAATATCTGGCGATCGAAGGATGAAAAGCAGGCAGGTAGCGCCAGCGCATTTGCATAAACCTCTCTCTCTCTCGCTCGCTCTTGATGAGCCGCCGCCAATCCCGATGGTCGCTCAAGGGGAACAGTGCCTCGGATGATTTCGCCGTTAAACTATTCGCTCTATTAGTCGAGTCCGCTGATCGCGCCACCGCTCGCGCTTGCTTCGATCGTCCGCGGCGCCGCGGTGAAAGAAAACGTTGCACTTCGGTCGATATGAGAACAGCGCTTGCGGCGCTTTATTTCGATGCAGTCTCCAAGCCGAGCGCCACGCCAAATATTTAATTTCCGGCTGTCGGAGTCGAATCAACTTTTCGAACGTGCCAATCGATCTCTCGCCGTGCGCGCGTACGAGTGCGGTGACCAGCGCCGCTCGTGAAAGCGAGAACACTCACGTTTACGACGTGCTGTCGTTACAATGCAAATCGTAAACCGTATATGTGTGCCCGTGTGTGTATGGGTAGGTGGGTGCGTGGCCCTCGATACGAATTAATCTCTGCTCGAAATACGCGCGCAATACGACGGCAGCTTTGCAAGCAGAAACATCGTCGACTCTAAAGCACCGCGACGTTATGGAATATCCCCGAATATATTAGACTACCGCGCGATTGTACAGTCAAGTTATGTTACGTCAAAGTCGCGCCTGCAGCTTGCAATCTCACTTCTCACGCTCTGCGCGAGCAAAAAATAAATAAATAAATAAATAGAGAGAGAAAGATCGTCGAGAGAAATCGTTGAACAGGAGAGATCGTCAATTGAAAAATCTGACGTTATACGCGCACCAGCTCCCAGCGGACAAATAATTATTCGCCGAATTTGACTGCATGTTTCTCACTCCGACGCTAGTAACATCGATGTTTGGCCAATGATCCCATTGCACAGGTATATAGGTATGCCAAGCGGTCCGCGTTAGCTCTATTATTGGCAAAGCCGAGCGTATCGTCTGCACGATCGAGTCAACTCGATACCGATCGATCGCACTCGGTTCACTCTTTCGTAGACCGATCAGCCCTTGCGGTAGCGTACGTAAGCTCACCTGTCCGAATGCATCGATGGGATTCATTCCTCAGCCTTTCATTTTCGAGCATTTCGTCATGGAAATCCGCTCTTGGACAAACATCAAACACACTCGGTGCAATTGCCACTGTGCCACGAGAAATGAGCGAACGATCGGTCATCGATTTAGTGTCAATGAGCGCGAGGTAAATGGTGTGCAGGTGGTGCTAATGAAAATCGACTAGACATGAAAGCCCGAGCGGGCAGTCTCATTAGAGGAGCATGAGAAACGAGCGAGGAGGCACGCGGCTTATTAAAGTGAAGGAGAGCGCGCTCGGCTTATGCATTATGGAAATGAGAGGCGCGCGCAGGCTGGCGTGCACGATGTGCGCGTGTCGCGATGCACATTGGGGATCCGCGAGCGCACGCGCCAACGCGGCGCAATTAGCATGGAAAATGCGCGCATCCCCCTCCAAGCTTCGCGGCTGGAGATACTTGACGCGCGAGCGAGCCCTCGATCTGCCCACCGCCTTCAGCCCTACGAGTCATAATCGGCGACAGCGCGCTTGCACGGGAGCGCGAGTCTCTCGAGAGTCACTTATTTATTGGGCGTCCCGCATGGGCTCCCCCCTTTTCTTTAATAACCTGGTTGCACACGACGGCCGATTCGCATGCCAATCAAACGATCGCGCCACTCGTCCGTTGCCGCGTTGCCGCTGCAACGTTCGACCGAAAGGAGCAAACGACCGAAGCGCGCAGCGCTGCAATTTGATTTGTCGCCTCTGTAAGCGAGAGCAGCTCGCGAGCGCAGTTCTTCCGCTGCGATCCGAGGGGGCAACCAGCGATTACACGTAGCCGCTTGGTTGATAATGCCCGGCTTTAGCCATGCGCACGCCGCGGCCGGACTTTCCAAAAGCAACGAAAAGAGCGCGAGCGGAAGTTGTCGCGGCGCCGATAAGCCGCCGACAAGGGCGATCGTCGCTCGTTTTTCCGTTACTTTTCAGAGCTTACTTGTGCGCGCGCGCCCGTGCCTGCATTATCCCTCGACGCGACGGCAAACTGGCGTTATAGCGAGCACACGCGCACTGTCGCTCGCTGGAAATGAGCAAACTCGCCGACACCGTGCCTATTAATTATTTATTTTCTCACGTCCTGCATTATACCACGACTTTCGGCGTGAGTTTACGCTAACTGTTCGAACGGGCACAGGCAATAAGATATTTATCGCTAATTTGTAGAATCGATTTGTCATTATCGGCAGATATCGTCGGATGCGTTGTGATCGAGCTTGAAGCGACTAATCGCAAAGACTCATTGGACGGGAGCGCGCATTTATCGAATTTTTTCGCAAAGCGATAAGCGAGATATTCGCAAAATTGGCGGGAACCCCATTACATCACTGCCTATCGAACGATTCGGCAAGCGCGAAGAGCCAAAAAGAAAAGAAAAAAATATCCGTGCTGCATCCTGCTTTGGCAACGACATGAATGAAAGATAAGTCGGGCAAGGAAATGATGCGAAAAGTTGCAGCCGCCTTATTTTCAAAATAACGGTGCTCCGGTACAAGTACAATAATTGACTAATCGGCAATCGCGAGAATAAGGCTACGTTAATTTATTCAAATTATGCGTCCAGCATGCTCGCCTTGTTTTCAGTTCCGTCAAGCTCGCCGGTGTTTGACTGATGGCAATGTCAAACATCGCCAGCTTGTCTCAACCACTTGGCGACTTTTCGTTATGTAAAAGACATTTGCGTCGAGTTCGATTCAATTTATTTGCCAGTTCGGTCGCTTGGAGAACAATGTTTGTTACAGTTTGCAAAACTAGCACGAAATCCAGTACTATAAAACCGATTCTTGCTAAAATTCAAGTTTGATATCGTCGAATCATCGACGTATTCGTCAATTATTCTATTGATGATTGGGAAATACGTCGAAGGTTTTATTCAGCATTGATAAAATCACAAATAGATTGAAAACTGCGATGATATTAGAAATAGAAAGTCAGCGATAAGTATAGCGTTCGCGTTGATGTAACCGGAAAAAAGTGGAATTTGAAGACAATGAGCACGACACGGCGACAACTGTAATTCAGTACGCACACATGAAAACAACAAAGGTATAGAAAACGTGATAAAACGCCTGTATGCGCACCTGCTGCATCATCCGACCGTTCTATAAACGCTGCCACGACACTTATATTCAAATATATCCACTAGGTTGCAATCGCACTTCCATATATCGCTCAAGAGATTAGAGTTATGAGAAATAGTTTTACTCCTACAATCTACTTTCAATAAAAAAAAGCTGATGCAATTTGAAATCGGCATGTGAACCATTGACATCGGAGATCATGGAAAACCATATGAGAGACTGTGCTTCTCGATTATTGCAAAGAAGGATGCCAAGAAAATTCGCAACACTAATGAAAATTTCAAGTACGGAGTAATCTCTTCGGGCAGGAGACGTCTGCACAATACCAGCACAAGCGCTCGGTAAATAAACGTAGAAAAGGCGAATCCATCCATGAAAAATACAACGGGCACCGCCTTCTCCCGAGCGTCGCGGTGAATTTGGCGGCTTTCAGTTTTACAAGTAACTTGTCGACTCATTAAACATTCGACAAGACTTACAACACTCTCGTAAATCAAGCGGAGGGAAAGAAAAAAAAAATTTTTTTTTCGCCTCGCGTCATCGTAGATGAGCGCACAATTAACGGTAATTAAACTTTAATGATTAAGATAAAACGAAACGTAGCTCGTAAAATTACTATAAAAACGCGCTTTTCTGCAACCGAATCCAGATTTTTCTCGAGTTAACTTGTAAACATTTACGTAAATCTTTTTTGATGCCTCTTTTTCGGCCGAAAGTTTGTACGCCAGGATGAGGTCTGAACCAACCATTTTCGAAAAAATATTCCTTGCTTTGCTTTCTTGCACCAGCAGTCGCGTATTTTATAATTATCCAACTCGAAAACAACAGTTTCTTTCTGGTTAATTTTTTCAAGATAGAACTCAAATATGAATTAAACTATGCGAAAATAACAATCTCCGTTACGGATGTACCGGTTGGTATTTCTAATAACAAAAGTTGTGTAAAAAAAACAATGAACTCACTGGTTCTGTTCGAGACGATCTTTATTGTATCGCTCGTGAAAGTCAAGCAACTCTTGGACCAAACCGGCTTTCAGCATTGAGTCCACCCGTGCGTCCAGACGTTCATTCAGGACTGCCTGCAACACATTGAGAATGGAAAATAAATGTTTTCTTAATAATACGAGCGTTTAAAATTAATTTAACAGAAACGGGCTCCGAGAACACTGCAATGGCATTATTATAAGGTCATTTGAAATGTTAATAAATTACATTATTCACAGATCCCACTAAATCTTGCGCGATTAATTAATGTCCGATGAACCTCATTTACAATAGTTAAATAAATATATTTTCCGTATACAGACTTCGCTTCAAAAGAGAGCGTGCCAAGTTTTGATGGCGAGTTCAAAGAAATAGTAATCAAACAGTGTCTCTAAGATAAGCACATAAAATCCATCATACAACCATAAACGTCAATGTTTTTTTACCCAACTCAATGACGGCGTCGTTTCGCTTCCTCCGATTAAATCATAAAAAGAGAAAATGGATAAAAGCTTGTTTCATTCATTATATCCAATTACTACGTCAAATTCCAAACCATTAGATAGAAAATTGTCCTTGTTTTATCATCGCAAGTCTCATTGATTTATCGAGCAACAGTTGGATACAGCGTCGATCCGATCGAGTGTGTGATGCAACATATGTAACGAGCAGTCGGCCGGAGTCGTTCCATTGATAAAACGGCAAGGTGCTGTGCATTCGCACGTCCCCGTATTTGGTGAGCGTCTCTCTATGACAATCGAGCCCCGTCTGCTCCTCGAAGCGTAAAATAGCCGCAAGAGACGACTCCCGCTACCCGCCCCCAGCGAACTATTCTCGAATCAGAGCCCAATCCCTCGCGCTTGATCCCAAGGAAATGAAATAAGAGGCATATAGCTGTTATCGAGGAACAGGAAGCACGAGAAACTGCCTACGAGTCGAGAGTTCATGGTACGACCCCCTATCGCGTTACTAAAAAGAATCAACATTTTTCGATGGCAATTGAATATCCAGACGGCTCATTGACGTATTACCGCGAAAACAACCTGAGAATCAAAGTACATCTGTCGCGAAGGCTAAAAATAACGTCAGCCCGAACGGCTCGGAAAATTATTCGTGCATCAGTCGCAAGACTAGGAATAGAAATGGAACGTCGTGGGCGTCGAGAGCAAGTGGGAGCATCGATAGATGCGACAACTGTCATCGCTCGCGCAAACGCGAATGCAGCGCCGAATCGCACCAGTGAATTAATCGAGCGTTACGTAAGACGTCACGTGATGCAGGCGCAGACGGTCGCGCTGTTAGTTAGACCAAAAGTCCAGAGATAACCAGAGCCAGCGACAAGAAAAATCGGGCTTATCCGGTCGGCAGAGCAGAGAGGGCTTATCGCGGCGGCAGCGGCGGTGCCGAGTGCCAAATCGGTCGAGCGATAGATCGTTGCGCAATTGGGCGGCGTACGGAGAGAAAAGCATCGCGGAGAGGCTTCGTCTGCGCCGAGAGCCGAGAGAGAGAAAGAGAGAGAGAGAGAGAGAGCAAGCGCAATATGCGATATCGCCGCTTAGCTCGCGCACCGCCGCGCGTCGGAAATCCTCACGTGACACTCGAAAAATCAGGCCAAGGTCCGCGAGAAAGCCGTGCACGTGACAATGACCAATCGAGAGAGAGAGAGAGAGAGAGAGAGAAAGAGAGAGAGATGAAAGGTGACTGTTTTGTGTGAAAATTGAGGGACGGCCGAAACTCATACAGGGCTCCTCGTGCCAATTCAAATGAATACTATACGCACAACGCATCAGTTTTTTTTAATCATAAAAGCTTCCTTTAAATAAATTATTGGTACTTTTGACAATAACTGATGAACGAAAATCATTGCGCAACAGGTCAAATTGTAGCTACTTTAATTGTTTGTAACTTTTATCTGAAACTCTTTTATCTAAAACAAAGAGCTGATGCAAAATCTCGAGTTACATTTTATTTAGAGTACGTATTTAAATTGGCCCGAGGGCCCCGGGATAGGCTTCGTCCATCCTTTAGTCATGTAACAAATTTTTCCTCTTAATTGGTCTGTCTATCCAATCGACCCCGCGAGTGGCCAACCGCCTCAGCGTCGCTCGCCACACTATTGCCATTTTACATAGGTTTTCCTTCACGCAAGGAATAAGTCCGCGTGAGTACACGCGCACGCGCGAATATGGTGCACCGGTAAGCGATCGAATCACGCCATTGTACTCCAATGAGAAGTGTAGCATTCGGAGGGCGTTACGAATAATTGGACATTGTCTTTCAGCGCGGAGGAGAGGCCGCGTAAAAGGAAAAGTGAGCAAGCTGGAGGCAAAGCATGAAGTAAATAAATCGTAAAATCACACCCTGACTTGGTGGCACTTGCGAACAGAGAATGAGAGACAGTCAAGCAGAGAGACAGAGACAGAGACAGAGAGAGAGAGAAAGCACATCAAAGTTTCAGCATACGTATAGATTGGAACGAGAGATGTTCGCCATGCCACGCGCCCGTTCATTCTATTTTTGGCGCGATCCGACATTCGCGTATCTTTCGGTGCGCGACTACCAGTGTCCCAGACAATTTTTCAATCGGCCGACCGTGTAGCCGTGTCCGCGGCAGTAACACTCGACCGAGTCAGAACTGCCACGCAAATAGTTTGCTCGTGCCGGCGCATAATCGACTCGATTAAACAAATAGATCGCCGAGGTTTTGATCTGAAAACCTCGCGCGCAGTCCAACTCGGCGAATGTTTGCGGGAGCTCGGCGGATCTTTCACACCGTAAATAGGTTCTGAGGCACGGGGCCCGTTGCGCAACGCTCGAGGGAGGATCCCAACGATTTAGCCTCATTATCCAAAGCGCGGCGGCTTTTGCCGATCGCCTAGTCAGTGTGAAAATGGCCATCGCGTACGAGCCGCCTTTCCTGGAAGGATCGCCAGGCTACGCTGCCGGGATTCCCTTTCTTTTATTTTTGCGAACGGCCCGCTTTCGGCTCCACCTTTTTCTGTTACAACCTTTTTATTCGGCTACCTTTTTGCCGACCGAATTCCTAGACAGCATGATCTATGGGGATCGACTGATCGCTACAATCCTCCTTGCCCCCCCCCCCCCCCTCCCCCGCCCCGCATCTAGTACACATGCTTATGGCGATAATGAAGTGTCAAAATGGTGATAAATTCGAGTACGAGTAACGAGTAGAAAAGCTAAATATGTATAAACGAGAGAGAGAAAGAAAGAGAGAAAGAGCGAGAGCTGTAATTGCGAAGATTGGCGTCTGGCTAATGATCGCACGAATAAAAGTGCAAGTTTGAACGCAGACCAGGTTTCATACTGCCTTGCAGTCTGTTTTAATTAGCAATAAAGCTACGCACGTATACGAAGCCAGTTTTACGAGCGTAATGCGATCAGCAAGATAAATAACAGCATTTATGAAACGTTGCCAAATGAAAATGAAGACGCGCAGTTATCGCGGACTACGGCTATTGAAATTAGCATAACTCAGCCCACCGCCGACGTATGTGCGCTTACAAGTGCGCGCGTGCACCGCATGCCGCTTTCCCGCAGGCTGCAGCGCGCCGACACCGTGGCTCTGACTTCACTCTCGGCAACTCGCGCGCGATCACGAGTCTAGACTGGCCGCGGCACTTGGCTTTGGCGCGGCGTTCATTCAGCCTTGCGGCCGGAAATGCCAGGAGTGCCGTCGCCGCCGCCGCTGCCGCCGCCGCCGCGCGGCGCAGCAGCACAGGTGTTGCGCGCGAATCGCAGCCGCGACACAGCCCAGCGAGCTTCCCTCGGCGTCGAGCATTTACGTAGGACAGACCCCGCCTGACAACCAAGACGCCGGAGAATCCGCATCCTTCGCGACTTGGCTCGCGACCAGTCGTTACGCCGCCTGCGAGCTTGAGCTCGAGCGTGCCAACAGAAGAGGAAGCACTGCCGCCGAGAGGGCGAATTATTGAATGAAATCATTGAGCCCTTGGCGATTGCCAGTCGCAACGAGGAGGCGCGAGCGGCAAAGAGAACCGTCAGCGTCGGCCGTTTGGCAAATGCCGATTTCCTCGAGGAAGGGGGCCGGGAGCGAGAGAGCTTTTTGAGAGAAATTCAGCGAGATCGATGGCCGTGCAGCGAGCTGTCTTTGTACGCGGCCGACGATCATTCGCGCAGACTACCCTCGTCTTCGGGCTTGCACGCAGGCCTAATTGCACTGACTGGCAGTGTTGCCGCTGCTTCAATCCAATCCTCGTAATCCTCGGACCAAGTGGTTTCTATGCGAAGCTTCGGCGGGAGCACCGAACGACGTAGTCAAGCGATCGCGGCGCAAGCGAGGGCTGTGGGCGCGCGCGTCCAGTGAGATTTAAAAAGGCCGGGAAAGCGTGGAGCGCGCCGATGCTTAGGGAGGGCGTCGGGGAGCGCCGCTCCGTCCTATAATTAAAAGCATTATCTAACCGGAGGAGCTCCGCTCGCGCGGAATGGACTTACCCGTGCGTGCGCGCGCGCGCGCGGGGATGGGAGAGGCTAAATATAAAGCGCATCGTCGGGGGACACTTGCACCGGCTTGTCGGTATACGGCGTCGGGCGGCTACGTGCCGAGAGGCGCTTCAACGATGCCTTTAGAGCGCCTCGCGCGACTAAATCCATCTCAGCGGATGACGGACGCGACGTGCGAGGAGAGCCTTTTCCGCCGCGTGAAAACAGAAGAGAGCGCGAGAGAGAGAGAGAGCCCCGAGTGGAAAGCCAACGTCGGTTTTGACCTTTCGAGCTCGTACGAGACACGCGGTGACGAGCGATCTCGCGCGCGTCCAAAAATTGCGCGAGCATTGCGCTACGCTCCGAGTTGAGAATAGCCGGCGCGTAAAAATGCGCGGCTAGCTTGATTAGCAAACAAGAGCTTCCGTAAACAGGATTGCCTTGACCGCACGTTCAAAGTTTACGGCTGGCAGCTCTTTCACTCAGGGGATACCGATGCTTGACGACCCAGCGGTCAGAATGTAACTGTCGAGCGGCGCGGCCACTAGGCCGCACGTCCGCTCGGTCGTGCAGGTAGCTTCAAGCCTGAAAAAGTCATTCAATTACGGAATGTCCGGCGGGAAGCGACGCTCTG